GAATTGCTAAAATGATGACTATTTCAGGGCAGGTAGAGGCATAGATTATTTCTACAAATAAGAGATTCTCAGTGTATAATATTTGGTTCAGTGGAAACCATTTCCCTTTCAAAAATTAAGACTTTACCATTCCCACTCCTCCTGCCCTTTTTTTGTTACAACTTCCCTCTTAACAGTAAGAGATCAAAGGTCTTCCTCAATGAAAATCAAGAGATGCTAATGAAGAGATTTTCTTCTCTATTTCCCAGGAATATGTAGTCTTCTCAGAGTTGACTGGTCACCATTGGAATGAGGTGCCTCCTGAGAAATTTCTGGATCTCCTTCCAAGAATGTTCCTGTGCAGCTGCATGTGCAATAACATCTCCTCCCCAGTGGAGAGGTGTGGAAACATTGGGTATCTTTGACGCCCAGCACAGGGGAGAGTAGGGAGGCTCTATCAAATGGCCTGCCCCAGAATAAGATAGCAGGGTCCAGTTGTTCTTCCCATGTCTTTTTAACCATTCTGTGGCTTTTTTTGCATGTTCTTTGCTATTGGTATTTTTATCATCTTCTCCCACAATGAAGAGGAAGTGCCCATGGGCCTTTTCAATGGGAAGAAAAGACTGGCTAGGCTCAACTCCAATTTCCTTATAAATGCCATGAAACTCTATAAACCCCAAAGCATTGGTGGATAGAAACTGTATAGAATAGGGTATAGGCTGATAGGTATGACCATGGTATACATGTGGAAAGCCATAAATGGAGCTTGGCCCATTTATAAGTATGGTGGCTGTGACTTGTTTTAGGTGAACAGCCATAGACAGTGCAATCTCTGCTCCTTTGGATGTAGCAATTACCCCAATGCCTGGGCCAAAGATCTGAAAATAACAAAAATGAGATGTTATTCTACCCTTCATTTAGGAAAACCCATCATCTTAGACAACCAAAGAGCTTCAGTGACCAATGCAAACAAAGCAAATATACTCACACCTCATGTGTAGAGTTCTGTAAGATAGAATGTGCATTCAAGGAGATACTCCTTTAAAAACGTATTGAGCTTTACTGACTAAATACTATGGATTCAGCATTGTGTTTGATTCTGAGTTTAAAATGCCCTCAAGAAATATCAATGGGGCTGGGGATGTGGCTCAAGCGGTAGCGCGCTCGCCTGGCA